CAGCGCGTGACCAGCACGCGACACCAGCGCGGCCACTGTAGATTCAGGAATCCTTCCATGGAGAACTGGCCCGCATAGGTGCCCGTCATGGTGGAGCTCTGACCCGCGGCCAGAATGCCCACGCCCCAAATGTACATGGCCACGGCGCCAAAGGTGCAACCAAGGAAGAGTCCACCTTTGTACAGATCCGCATCGATGATGGCAGTTCCGTTCACACTGTCCACGAATGACATTTTGGCATCGTCGTACATGGACTTGTCTTTACACACATCAAGCTAGCGGGTCACAAAAAGTTAACCATCAGTCTAATGATTATTTGTATCTTAAGATCGTCTACTTACCACATCATTGTTCGTTTTTCCATACATGCCATGGGCAAACACAGCAACCACAAACAAATTGATAATAAAGGACACAAACAGAGCTACCGATGCCTCTATAAAGAAGTAGAAATTCGCTTCGCTTACTTTCTTTGGCTGGCGACGATCTATATCGCGGGACTGTTAACAGAAACCAGGTTAAACACAAGAAATTTCAAAAGAACTTTGTGGTATTATACCTTAACCAAGGCCGAGTGCAGGTATAGATTGTGGGGCATTATTACAGCACCTACTACGCCAACCGCTTGCAGCAACACGTTCGAATTGCAGTCTGAGCACCAGGGCACAAACATCCCCTCGAGAACTTCTCCTTGATTTGGGGCTGACACAATGTACTGGAAAAGATAAACAAGGGAGTTAGGTTGACTCAGTAATTACTAGTTTCAAATTGATAATATGGACAAAACTAAATTCCCCTAAGATATATTACTTATTTTCTGAGAGGATACCATAAATAATTATACTCATTTGTAGAGAAAATCCCCATTTAAATATTTGTTTATATTGTATAAAAAATCCCCAATGCATAATTTTAAAATTCTGCGTTGTATAATCAAACTGATAAGGTGTGCCATTATATAGCCCATCTGGAAATTGTTTGTCATATCCGGCAGCATCATGTGCCTGGCCAGAGTCAGATGTAGAACCCATCACCCCCTGGCCAGAACCCCTCGAAATGTGCAAGTGCAGCTTATCTAATCAACTGGGTCTCCGACTGGGGCAGACAGCTCAAGAACAATTGTTTATTATCTGGGACGTAAACATGACGCTGTCGTAAATTTAAGAGTAAGAATAAGGGTTGCCTTTTTTAATAAACAAGTTATATTGAAAAAGCATCAAATGAAAATGGTCTGTTTTACGACGAGACGTAAAAAAGCTTCCGAAAAATGTTATTTTATTGCTCTCGCCACAATTGTTTAAACAAAATATATTTGCACTCACGTCTGGCAAGTAATTTCCTAACTACTTTATTGACTTAAAGCTAGGGGAATTTTTCGTAGATTTCGGGGATTACTTTAAACACTAAAGACGATACTTTAATGTGGGTACTTTTTTTTGGATGCTATTAAACTTACCTCATATCCAAAGGAGACGGCCATTATGGTGATGAGTGTGCCGAATAGGAACTCCAGCTTGCGTAGACCGTATTTGTCCAGAAACAGGAACGTGAACGTGTCGACAATGGTAATCAACACGCCGCCCCACAAAGGCACACTGCAAAACAAGGGAAAGTACCGCATGAGAACTGGGTATTTCAATATTCCGCGCATTAGGTATGCTTACACTTTATTCGACAGCAGGTATATGGCAATGGCCGTGCCAATAACCTCCTGCATGTCGGAACCAATAATGGCTATCTCAATCATTATCCAGAGGATCCAACGTGGCAAACGCTTGTACTGCCTGTAGCACATCTCGGCCAGATGGAGGCCTGTGACAACACCCAGTCTATAAGGCATATTGTTGACAGTTAGATTTCAATATCTTGGGGGAACTTAGAGACCCACTCACCTTGCAGCCAAGCGTTGCATAAGCAGGCCCAAGACGGTGGCCCACAGCAAGACCCACAAGATCTTGTACTTGGCCGCCGCACCAGACTGCATATCGGATTCGATGTTACCGGGATCCAGATACGCAATGGACATAAGAAAACCGGGTCCCGTGAAGGCCCACAGCTTGCGAAAGCTGAAACCAACCTGCAGAGTACAAGACAATGGTTTAAGTTTATTTAATTATCGATTTTCGAGCAGACTCACATTTGTGCGATCATCATCGGGTATGAGGACCTTCTCATCGCTGAAGTAGGCCTGCTTGGCGGCGGGTTTCAGATAGGTCGTCTCGTTGAGTATCTGCTGGTGGTGCAGATGGCTGCTCCGCTGGCTGCCTCCGCCGGATCCACCGGCGGACTCGCCCGGTCCATCTCCACCGGCACCCGGCTCGTGGTAGGCCTCATTTGAAGACATGCTGGAATGAAGAAACGCAATTAGGCTTGGTCAGATTCGAGTTTCCACATGCTCCTATTTCTGTCCACTGCCCGTCACCGACTATTCTAATCTGCGTTTGCTCTGCGATTGTTTCACCTGCCATCAGCGTATAATTCTCACAATTTCCATTTAATTGAGCATCTGCATGTGATTTCAGCGTAATTAGCATTATCATAATGCAAACATCAAACAAATGATTTTTGCACCATATAACTTTATCAGCAATATATGTATACTATTTTGAGTTTTGAAAATTTCATCATAATCCAGACCAAAGTCAAAGCAACACGTTTTAGGTTTTTCCGGAACGTGCATGCAAAAAACTAAATGAATAACAAAAACAGTTTCTGATAAGGCAAAATTACTAAATTCCATTTTATGTATATTCACTTGTATGAGTGCCTTATGAGGAAATAAAACAGAGGTCTGTGAATCATACTGTCCAGTAATTGAAATTCCTTTGTGCAGTTTACCACAGAAATCTTCCAGATATGTACATATGCATTTTTGTACAAACCCATTTGCATTGGGCAATCATTGGATATGGCTGGTTAAAAACAAGACTACTGAAGAGAAATACGAGACCATTGACCTGCGTATCGTTATGAATTTTCGGATACTGTTTATTGGGTAAAAAGCGATTACAAGTGCATTTTGGATGGGGATGCCTGAGCAGCCAAGAGCTCTTCAAAACGTATTGTTGTATAAAGAGCCAAGTGGCTCACCTTGACAAACGCTGCTGCCCCACTGATGCTATATATCTGCTATAAGGCTTTCCACATCGCTTCATTGATGACGGACGGAGCGGAGCAACAAAGACAAAGAGCCCGAGAGCATCGGTCGATGTCTACTTGTGTGTGGCATTTAATCGGGTGTACATTATGTGGTATTTGGTATATATCAACCGAGTTGGCCAAATCAAGGCGCCATTAATGGAGCCCCAATCGCGCCTATTACACGCTGCAATGTTTTTAAGGCAAAACTGTAACGAATCGACGGAAAGTGTCTAGTTCTTTGGAACACTTATAATATATTTCAAAGCCTGCCCTGTTTACCCAGCTGTACGGCAATACCCACGCCCCCAAAACGGAACTCAACCGATAAGCGTATAATCAGCTACGTGTTAGCCTTCCATTTTTGTACCAAATCAGACACCGTAAATTATGATAATTGGTAACAAAAAGAGCTCAAAATTTCAGGGCTTTTACCAATTGAGTGTCCAAATTAATGGTCATTTTTCCATTTTTGTCTTGTCAACAATTCGGTTTATTTTGGTATAACATATGTACATATATTTTCTGAACTTCGTACCATTTTGCGCTGTCAGCGCATATAAACAATTTAATTTAAAACACTTGACAACAAAAAACGAAATATTTCCGAAACAAGATAACAGTAATTTGAAAATAGAAGAGCCATACTTATCAGCAGCAGATTTTTAATTCGCTTGTTGTTTAAAAACAGCGCATTAACTGTAGTTATACGCTTTCTGCCCGAGATTCATTGGGTTCTAAAAATTGTTTTTCTGTGGAAGTGAGCAGGCAATAAGGCCAAATTGCGTCTGGGAAACTAGCCCATTGTTAGGGGATTTTAAAGTGCCAAACGCGCGTCAACAAACAATTGTTTTTACGGTTATTTACGGTTAAGAACTATACCTTTCTCTCTTTGCCGGTAAGGGAGAGAGGGACAGTGAGGGGAGAAGAAAGGGGAAGAGAAAGAGCACCACGTTTTGTTATTAGCACAGCACACACCTGCGTGCGCACTCACCCATACACGCGCACAATCACACACACACACACAACACAAAATATTGATGGAGATGTAAATTATTGGATAACTTTAGTTAACCACTTCCTAGCAATTAACGGGGCTTACTCGCAGATGTGGGGACGCCAAGGGGTAACTAATTGGAGCCCTCGCCTGTATTATATCACACTCGACACTTATTGCTGCTTATAAATGCATTTTCCCGAACTTTTATCGAGGAGCAATTTACGAATTCTGTGACGTGACGTTGGGACGGCGGAAACAAAAGTGATGAATGCAGTGCAGCGACAAAACAACGACGAAAAAACAGTTGAAGAAGCGGAGCGGGGTCTTTGGCTGCCAATTGTTGACTTAGTTAACGGCAATTGACGAGCGTACAGGCAATTTGTGCTCTGCCCGCGAGCACTGCTCTTTGTTTATTAATTTTCCTCGCAATATTTGAGATTCTGGCACCAGCTGCTTTCTTTTGCACGCACACACGCACACTCTCTTCGGCCGATGTGGCAACCTGCGACCACTCTCTCTTCTTCGACTTGCCGAAATCTGGCAACTCTCTTGCGATACACTACCTTATCGGCCAAACTGAAGTTTAAACTGTGAGCCCACGCGATCGAGTGACTATAGCTTTTGGCGGTAGCCCCTATTTATTCGAAATACGCTACTCTCGCGTACTGATAGCGGAGAGAGTTCGCGAGAGAGCGCCTAGAGTACATTTTTTGAAGAGGGATTTTTTGATAATGCCTGAGGATTCTTTGAGTGGCCAGAAAGACCGCCTGAGATTTAAACCTGACATTTGAAATACCGGTTTGTCAAACGACCTCGCCAATTTCACTCTCTCTCTCTCTCTCTCTCTTATCGTTAACCACAGGTTACCGTTACCGTTAGTCAGGTTGTGTGCGGGGAATTACTATATGGACTATTCTCATCTAACGGACAATCAGAACTTAATTTCCCCACGTTGTTACTAACACGCACACTTTATCGTAATCCCCATCTCAAAATTGAATATATAAATCAACTTTATCGGCAACAACTTTGATTTCCCCTGACACTTCTTTTGATTGCGATCCGTCGCCAATAATTGTGATAAATCTTATCAAGTCGCCGCTTCTTTTGGGTTGTCCCTCAAATTTACGACATGGGCGTACTTTCCTCTTCTGTATGGTTTTTTAACTGATTAATCAGCACAATGCAAAGTTCTCTTTCTTTGTTGAACCCACATACATATGAATGTATGCACCATACATGATTCACGGCAGTAAGTGGCTCTTGTAACCTTTTCTACAATTCCAGATTACAATGCGTTCGGTAAGCGGCTGATAAGAAATACGATCCATTGAAGAAAGGCCTTGACAGTCCTACCCCAAATTAGAGATGCCCTTGTGATGTTATAAAGAACCTGACATATTTTTTCTTATCATGTACAAATTTGTAGATCCCCTATCTCAATGAATAAATAAATTTAAAAAGATTTATGGATACTTTGGAAATGATTTAAAGGAAAATAACATAATTCCACCCAAGAAATGTCCGGACTGGGAACATTTAAAATGCAATTTATGTGCGACATTAACAATCTGGGGAACAAATGACCTACATTTTATTGTAAACGCTAGGGCAGGCTTTTTAATTTGATTATTTTTAATTTCAAACTTCCAAGGCTAGAATATCCCCAAACTACGACAAACAACACTTGATTCATTAACTTTATTAATTATGTATTTATTTATCAAAAGAGCAGACTTTTTGTTGTGACTGTCTTCAACATTAGATAACCTGACGCAGGAAACTCTCGTAGACTTTATACAATTTAAAAAGAGCAAAATCGTTACTTGACACATTTAACTTTATAACCAACGTATAAAATATGAAATGGGCACTGTGTTAATTGGCCCACAAATCGCTTGGGTGAAACATAAATAGCTTGGCATATTTTCTTTGAAAAATATACATACGTGTTAAATACAAAGAATGTAAAATGCAATAAATGATATATAAAATATGGAATACCTCGATAGGTTCAAATGCTAGTATAACAAATTACAATAATAATTTCAATCTCTAGCCGTTCGTTGCACATAATTTTGAGGAATTAGAGGGGAAACAATGGATGGGGAGGGAACATGCGAAATGGGTTAGGTTAGTAGCGAATCGGTTTATAATCCAACATCAGTATTATCGTTTTCGTTAGTATGTAAATACAATTTGATTTTGTTCTATCGCGAATTTCAATTGGAAGCATTTAGGAGTTCTGTCCCACAACCTGCACATAGTTGGCCGGGAAGAGCCCGTAGCGGTTCTTGCACAATCCCCGCCACCACCCGTCGTCGATCTTCTCGATGTGGGTGATCACGTCATCTGGGTCGAAGGATATCTCGTCGTCGTCCGCCGCCTGGTAATCGTACAGGGCAATGGCATGGATGCCGGTGTCCTCCAGGTAGTCGGCCAAGTTGTCAGAGTTCGCGTAGATTGCCTCCTCAGACGCGGTTGCTCCGCCACTTGTAGCGACTGGCTCGGAAGCAGCTCCATTCGTGGGCGGCAACGGTGAGGCAGCCTTAATCTCGGCCTGGTTTTGGTACAGCGGCTCCTCTTCGGGTACTGGCTCAGGCTCGGCTTGAGGTTGTGGTTCAGGTTGGACATGGGCTTGAGGCGTTGGCTCATGGGCTGGCGAGTTCGGCTCGCTTCTGGGAGGGGTCGCCACGGTTTCCACCTCTATCTGGGGCACCACATCCGGTGGCGGAGCTGCAATCTTGGCAACTGGAGCTGCCTCTGGCTCAGGAGCGGGAGCAACTACAGGAGCAGGAGCAACCACAGCCGGAGTTGGCGCTGGCTCCTCCTTTGCTTCTACTTTAACAGGCTGAGCCTTGGGAATGACGATGGGTTCCTTGCGTGCAGGAGGAGTTTCCGAGACTGGCGACTGCATTTGGTTAAATGCACTGATCGCGTTGCCAATGCCTCCGGTTCGACCTGTCTGAATGGCCGCCCTGCTGCCCTTGGGCGGGGGCGTGTCCGAGGAGGTACGGGGAGTATTCTCAGCCACAGTCTTCTTGGCGGCTTCCTCGCGATCCCGCTTATCCTTGGCCTCACGCAGGCGCTTCTGCTCCTCTGCCCGCTTACGCGACTCCTCCTCCGAGTTCTTGGCCAGGTTCTCAAACTTAGCGCGCAGATTGGAAGGCTTGGCGCCTTCGATTACGGGCTTGACCTTGTGGTCCACCTGGCTGGCATGCTTCTGGGGGGCCTCAATGTGGTCCCAGCCAACGGCGGACTTGTCCTTGCGATCCTCCTGTACTCCAAACTTGCCGCCAAAGCCCTTGGAGTAATCTAAGGTAGGAAGACGAGATTATACAGGTAATTAGTCAAACTGCAGTTGAACTTTAATAGCTTTAGAAAATTGAGTTAAGAACTTCTTATCTTGTTATTCTGGGTACGACAATAGAGCCTACCTTAATTAAGGCATAAGTTTTAAGACGATATATATAAATATTAGAAGTCGTGACAGGTATTAGTAGATTAATGGTTTTGCCTTTCACTGCGTTGTTAGTAAAAAATCGAACTTCGTTTGAGTAATGTAAAATTCTAGATAGGTTACTTACCCTTCTGGGACTCGTGCTTTTCCACCTTCTCAATGTGATCCCAGCCAACGGCCGATTTATCCACGCGATCCGACTGCACTCCGAACTTGCCTCCAAAGCCTGTGGCGTAGTCCTTCTGGGATGCGTGCTTTTCCACCTTCTCGATGTGGTCCCAGCCCACGGCTGACTTGTCCTTGCGGTCCTCCTGCACGCCAAACTTGCCCCCAAATCCATCGCTGTAGTCCTTCTGCGAGGCGTGTTTGACCACCTTGCCCTGGTAGTCATGACCCACAGCCGACTTGTCCATGCGGTCCTTCTCCACACCAAACTTTCCACCGTAGCCGTATCCGGCATTCTGATCCTTCAGCAGCTGCTTCTTTTTGTCAAAATCGGCCTGCTCCGTCTCCTCGCGCAGCTTGTCCATGCTAAAAGAAAGGGAACAATGAATCTGATATTGAGTTTCTCGAAAAAATCAAATGACTCACTCGATGGTGCCGGCGGTGCGACCGCTGCCGTCGATGGTTTTTGACCCCCACCGCTGCTCCTGCTCGCTGACATCGTTGACAAAGTCGGGATCTGTCTCCCAGTCATCATCCTCCGCTGAGGCGGCACTGGTGGCCTGAATCTGGTGACCGGCGCTTGCCTTCCACATTCTGTTTACGGGTTTCTGCTAACTGGCTACTCGCTTATCCTTATCTGCTGGGTAGATAAACACCATAGCGAGTGTGAGTAGTCGGGACAGGTTTTTTGGGGGGGCTCCGGTTGCGTTTCGTGGCCAAGATAACAAGACACAAAACACCGAAGAAGGGAGGGGCCGACGCCGGATCGAGAACAAGGCGCCTCTGGCGATATATGTGTGTATATACTCACATCCCGGTGACTAACTGCAGGGGGAAACTGCTGATCTGATGCCGTGCCGCTGAAACCTTCTGATGTCGCAAATTTCCGGGCGGAGAAGGGTTAACAAATTGATTCATAAATTAGAACCAACAAATATCGATTAACGATAGGCCTCTGACAATAAAACGGGAAACAAACTAGAGATGGGTGGGCCACTCACGATATTAATCGAACAATTAGGTACACTATCGAGGACTGGTATCGATAGTAAGCAAAAGTGGTTGTACCGAAAATCGAACTTAATAACGAGAACGAAAGCTAACATCGGCAAGCCGAAGTTTTAATACCCTTTCACCCTTTCAAGATAAATATATAAAATATTAAACATTCAACAAAATACTGGCAAATAACTTGAAAAACTAACTTTACCTTTTCCAACCTATAGCTCTAGGATATTGTCGCTTGGTCGGTCAAATATTTTGACCAGGGTAATGATGAAATAATACAATTTGCGAAGTTTTACGTTGCTAGCTTTTAAACTGCACCGTTGTATTGTACAAAATGTAAAATAAAAAGTTTTTATTTAAAAGTGTTATCAATTTTATTATCATTTTCCCAATGCGTCACTGTCGTAATGCAAATATCTCAACCCATATCGTACTTTCGTCATATATGTTTGATGTCTCAACAGCTTCCAGTGATGATTCACACAATTTACTCTCGTAACTTATTTTATTCTCAGGTGTTTTAAAGGCGTGGGAGAGACAACCCATCCAGTCAAGGCGGGATCTAAACAAAAATCTTTTAGTTTACACCACTAGTACCCATATTCAACATAAACCCCCCAAAGTTGCCGGCCAAATTCAAAGTTTCACCAACGTGCCGACCGCGCTCTCATTCGACAATCGAAACAAAATGAGCAAATAAAACTCTCTCTCGTCTCTCTCTTACAGCTGTGTTCATTAAATTAGCAGTGCGATAGAAGCGAAACTATATATCGGTTTATTAGCATAGTCCTTTTGGTTAGTTGATCGTTAGTACATTTTTCTTGTAGAATGGATCATAGGGATACAAAACAAGCCCCTTAAGATTTGGTCGGTTTTTGGGTTATTTTCATATTTTTGCACACGGGCACAACATTTTGGCTGTTTACTGAAATAGCAGTTTTTGGATTTAATTAAGACCATTATTATAAATTGAACGATAATACACTGTAACTGTGGAAAAAAATAACTTTAGTGGGTAGAGGACCTCATTGCTTCAAGGGAGAAAGGAAAAAATTATTGAGCTGAGAAAGGAGGGCAAAACGTATCAATATATTCAGTGTCTCTTAAAATGTCCAGCCAATTTTACAATGGCATGAATTATGAACCGAAGCCCGAAAAACGCGATGCGATACGGAAAACACCAACTGTAGCAAACTTCAGCAAAGCTTATCCTTTTGCATCCTGTAGGACTGTAAAAGTGAAGGCACTATTTTCCGAAGTCTGTTAGGGGGCCGTCCATATACCACGTGGACAAATTTTAAGCACTTTTTGAGAAATTTCATTCTGTCGTATACTGATGCTGAAATGTCCTTAATATGGACATTTCAGCAGGACAATGATCCTAAGCACACCAGCAAATTGCCCAAGGAGTGGTTTAGCCAAAAACAAATTGACGCAATGCCGTGGCCTGCACAGTCCCCGAACTTAAATCCGATTGAAAACTTATCGGGGGACATAAGCGTTATGTTGCCAAGAAATCCCCGACTTCTAAGCCGCAGCTTTGGCAAGTTGTGCAGGAGGGATGGGGCCAGACTTCCCGCAAACGTTGTGGGCTCCATGCCTCGTAGGTGTTATCCTGAAATAGCAAATAAATAATAAGTATGCAACAAAATTTAAATCGATATTTAGTAGGATTAAGTTATTTATGAGCCATATTGAATTTTATCATATTTTTCTTTAAAGACTGCTTTTCAATGATCACCATAATTTATTCTTTCTTTTTTGTTATAATCCATATTTGCTAAAATATTGATGTGCCCAACAGGAAAAAAGCAGTTAAATTATTTAAAAGTAAATAATTAAAACTGTTGTATTTCAGTTTTGTCTCAATGTTTTATACGTGGGGTCGTAAGCACTGCTATTTCATTGAACACAGCTGTAGATCCCAATCGCCGGCTATTCCACCACTTCAACTTTTTCCCCACCAATCATTTGCCAACGAGAGAGCGCCAAGTATAAATTTGGAAACGGGACCGCAAAAAGATATAGTATTCTTTCTCATCGCCTGCCGTTCGCTCGCCAGACCTTTGTACGTTGAAAATCGAATATCGTTGGTAATTTTAAAGGAATTTGTAGATAAAACATTTTGTTTACTTTCGCCGTGCCAGAAATCGCAAGTCAAGTGCAAAAGCAACCAGAAAAGTGAAAAGAAAGTGTGTGAAAGGCAATAGAAGATTGTTGCAATTGGTGGCAAGGGCATTTTGTAGAACTCTGGGCGCGGCGTCAGAAGAATTCTCCAGAATCTTGCATGGGAGTGAGCGAGATACGAAATTTCTCTATTTACTTTGAACTTCTAGAGGCGATTCGAGTAAAACAGTCGAGGGAAAAAACAAATTCGAAAACCGAGAGATGACATCATCAAAAGCCCCTCTCTTTAGGCGTTTCTCTCACAGACTCGTGTGACTTTTGAACATCTCCCACTAAATCTAAGTAAACTTTTCGTTCTTTTCCTCTTTTTATTTTACTTGAGGATGGGAAACGAAATTCTCCGAAATATCGTCCATAAGATTGTCGCTTTCGTCCCATTTCCCTGCTTAATTTAGTAATTCAATCAACTTCAATTGCTATGATAGAGGCTTCAAACCACAGTAAATCTTGGGAACAAGCGCTCTGTGGGCTTACTCAGTATTACTCATCGGATGTGGCCACATTCCGACTACCATAACTTATATACAATATAGTGCATTTGAGGCCGTGCAATTATACTAGTATAGGTGTGTCATCAAGGTTTATTACCGACTAAATTGCCGTGTACTATTGTAAAACATAACTTATATACAATATAGTGCATTTAAGGCCGTGCAATTATACTAGTATAGGTGTGTCATCAAGGTTTATTACCTACTAAATTGCCGTGTACTATGGTAAAACATTTCTGAGTTTCAATTCAAGGTACAGTCAGTCAGGGTCTCCAAAAGAAGTTTAGTAAAAGCTTTTGTTTATGAAGTTATTCACACATAGTCACGAGCTGTTCCAGTTCCAGAGCTCTCTTTACACACCTTTCCCATGAAATCTAAAAATTTTTAGCTCTATTATTCGAGTCGTGCTCAAAGCTTCCGATTGACGTCACAAATCTTGTGAATCATTAAGTGCTGTAATTTCAAATGTATCACAAGTCACGATGGCTATTAATAGAACAACATCATCAGATACGTCATGGTACATAATCTAGTCCCCAACAAATTCCTAACAGTGTTTCAATTGAAACAAAAAAAATAATAACTAATGGGTGTTTCCAAGCACAAATGCCTGTACAAACACATGCGGGGTCAAAATATTAGAACTGAGAATTTGATTTTAAATTATCTATAAAATTGATCTTTTTTAACTTAAAAAAGAGTAAAGATGGTTTTTTTCAACATTCAAAAATCAGTCAGTAAAATCTTAAAAGATATTATATAAAGAACCCAAGATAAATACTATTATTTCGACCTTAGCTGTATACCATACATATAAGAACCGGTTCAACTTTGGTCAAAACATTTTTGTTTGTTTATAGCTTGACTGCAGAGGCGTCCAAAGTTGTTTCTGTTTTTTTGGTATGGCCTGTTTGCGGCGTCGCCACGTCAAGTCTTTTATAATGCCTTTTTTTTCAGCTGCCTTTTGTTGACTTTCTACTTTGGCGGCAGCATAGAAAGGCAAACATATTTTCTGATGTACTTTGGGTAACGACTAATTTGGGAGCGATCAGAAAATTCAATCAATTTATCAATTAGTAATTTGGCCCTATTGATTTTTGTGATTATGTGGGCTTGCAGCAAATCCCCCGAGATAGTGTTCCACTTGACAACTGAAGTGGAGTGGTTAGGCCCAGAACGAAAAGGGGCAAGACATTTCCCTGAAGCTTTCTCTTGGCCACAATCGAGCCGTGCCCGATGTTTTTCAAAGCAGAACGCAATGAGCTCATCCGTTTATAAGGCCATTTCGTGTGGGTTCGGTCTGGCCTATCACGAAACTACCTGAAAAAGCCATTTGGTTATCAGACGCGCCCGGTTCCATAGTTCCTGTCCTGCAAACTGCCCACTGAAAACTGGAAACTTTCACTTTCCCCGGGAGTACGTTGAACTTGGCTTGGGCCCCAGTTGAAAACGTGAACTAGGAAAACATCTGGGTAAATAAACTACGAAAAATCAATGGGAAAAAGTGTTTCCGCCTGGCTACGGGGCGTATGCGTAATGGGAGGCTTTAACGACTTTTGATGATGTCACCAGGCAGGGCCCGAAAATAAAGGCCGAGTTTATTAGCTGTAGGGGTTATAATGTAGCTGACCTTGTTGGGGGCTAATTTTCTATCACGTTTTGGTTTATTAGGAATCTTTAGCCATTATTCATTATGATTTCTCACTTCCTATTTACAGATTTTCCACAACAACCCAATCAAAATGAGTTCCGCTGAGTACTACCCATTCAAGGTGAGTTTACAATGGATTGTATTTGAGGGATTGAAAATGAGGCCCTGCGATGAGCTGTAAATCTTTTAAAACCCGATTTTTTAAATGATTAAGCTTGTTAATATAGTAAACTAGATAACTAAAGTGACTTAATAGAAAAATGGGAATGTAACTATAATTACACCTTTTCATTAGCCCAGTCTCATTAAAATTAGTACGTTCTAATTATTTTTGAGAGCGTTTAATTTTGCCCAGCAATGCACAAAATTTCGAATTTTTTCTCTCCGCGGGAACCAGATGCTAAATAATTATCTTTAATAGGGCTATTAAATGATCATCAAGTGGTGTATACTATATTCGAGAATTGCTAAAAACAAGTACTGACAGATAGGACAAGAGAGTGATAAGAGGAGTTCATATATGTACATATAAGTTGCTCAGATAACATTCATAGCAAAGTAAACAGAAATCCCTGGAATAGGGAATTCAAAAACCTTATCATGACATAATTAAAGAGGAAATTATGCATAACTCAAATTATAAAAGTAGGGGGTAATCACACATGTGTAGTACAAATACCACAGGGTAATGTTGAGTCACCACAACCACAATGGCACCCATTTTGGGATTACGTGCCTTGCATTGAAATAGACTTTCTCATTACTCACTTGCTTATTGTCTGCTTTTGGCTTTTAATTTTGCAGTGCACGCCCACCGTCTACCCGGCGGATCCCTTCGATCCCGTCGAGGATGCGGCCATTCTGCGCAAGGCCATGAAGGGCTTCGGCACCGACGAGAAGGCCATCATCGAGATCCTGGCCAGGCGTGGCATTGTCCAGCGTTTGGAGATCGCCGAGGCCTTCAAGACCTCGTACGGCAAGGACCTGATTTCGGACCTTAAGTCTGAGCTGGGCGGCAAGTTCGAGGATGTGATCCTGGCCCTGATGACGCCTTTGCCCCAGTTCTACGCCCAGGAGCTGCACGACGCCATCTCGGGACTGGGAACCGACGAGGAGGCTATCATCGAGATCCTCTGCACCCTGTCCAACTACGGCATCAAGACCATTGCCCAGTTCTACGAGCAAAGCTTCGGCAAGCCCCTGGAGTCCGACCTGAAAGGCGACACCAGTGGCCACTTCAAGCGGCTGTGCGTGTCCCTTGTGCAGGGCAACCGTGATGAGAACCAGGGAGTCGACGAGGCAGCCGCCATCGCCGATGCCCAGGCTCTCCACGATGCCGGCGAGGGACAGTGGGGCACCGACGAGTCCACTTTCAACTCGATTCTGATCACCCGCTCCTACCAGCAGCTGCGCCAGATCTTCCTGGAGTACGAGAACCTGTCGGGCAACGACATCGAGAAGGCCATCAAGAAGGAGTTCAGCGGCCCCGTGGAGAAGGGCTTCTTGGCTATTGGTGTGTTTTCAGTCGATTGTCTTAATGGTATGCCTTCTAACTTTTCTACTTCCTTTCAGTCAAGTGCTGCAAGTCCAAGATCGACTACTTTTCTGAGCGCCTGCACGACTCCATGGCCGGCATGGGCACTAAGGACAAGACGCTGATCCGCATCATCGTCAGCCGCTCGGAGATCGATCTGGGTGACATCAAGGAGGCATTCCAGAACAAGTACGGCAAGAGCCTGGAGTCCTGGATCAAGGTAAATACCGATTTCAATTGCCTTTTTGTGTGTGCTTGCAAGAATTTTAAACGTTGCACCCTTTGTAATACCACTAACTCGCATTCGATCGTCTCTGCAATAACGCCCATTAATCGTGGTTCTATAAAAGTTTTATAATCAAACAACCAACCATCCATCCAGCTGGCTTCTCTTGTTGTCGTTTCTTTTTTCCCACATTTTCTTGTCGAATTTGGATGCCATTTTCCCTTCCTGCCCGTTTACTTCATTTGTGTGCATAAAACATTAAAACCTGGCATATTCTATATTTTTAGGGCGACACATCTGGCGATTATAAGCGTGCCCTATTGGCTATTGTTGGCTTCTAAAAAAAGACTCCCCAATCCAACAATAACTTGTCACTTTCATCTGTTCCACGCCCTAAACTAAATGCAAAAAGAATGTACAAACGAAATTCTGATATCGAATAGTTGACAATGTATAGTTTTTAAACTGGAACAAGTTTTAACGAACACGAGGCCACGCAGTGCATTTAAAGTCGTAGAATCAGAATCCCCAGTCTCGCATCCTGTTAATTATTATTATTAGAATTGTGACTATTATTATTATTATGACTATGCACGCCACATGCACATGATTGTATCTCTTTATATTTACTACACTCGAGCATATATACATATTTTGCTATGTAGCTTATGGTTTCTGTTTTGTTTCGAGTCTCATTTGCAACGTATTTTAACTAAAAACGCAACAAAATAAAAAATATGACAAAAAATAAAATACAAAATTCAAATGGAGTTTCTGTTACCGTTAGCAGAGGTTTCTGCACTGCTTGTCATGTAAATAACAGGCCTAACTTCATAACATTAATAAGGGCGATGGTTAAATTAGTACAAAAATCATGCAAAGTTGGGCTTAAATGGAATATCACCAGCTTCTTAACCACTTTATAGACTTAATCAGCAATATCAAATGCTTTTTATAAAAATCGATTGAAAAATTCAATTTTAAAATAACTTCAACTGCTTGCTTTAAGTAAATGTCAATTTAATGTAAGTATCATGTAAAATCCGAATTCAAATATGTATAACTTTAAACTGAGCTCAAAATTAAAAATTCCAGGCTTGATAATTTGCTGATCAAGTACATAAATCGTAAATAGCTTTTCATAAGAAAATTTTACATAAAGTAAATCACACCAACTACTGAAAAGAGTCGCTTCCGGATATTAATCAAACATAATCCATGTATACAAAGTAAATGCGTTTAATGCTCTGAAACCTCTGCTCTTTTCACGCTTGATCTCTACCCGTAAAACCCAACCAATAAAAGGAGGATGCCGAGACCGATATTGGATTTGTTCTGGTCACTCTTACGGCTTGGTAGACGGATGCAGCCGGAATACAGGGATATATGAGGAATATTATATTCCCCCTGCTAAAGTAGAAAATGCCAAAAAAAAAGAACAAATATGTTGCATTTCCCAAAAATCAAAAGAACAACAAAAGCGAAGAACAAATGAAATTATCTGTTGTGATGTGTTCTATAAATCCAATCTATGAAAACCTTTAGTATTTTTCCTCTGTGCAATAACGTCCAACATCCACGTCGGTTTGTTCGTCAACGATTTTTTAACATTTTTTACGTATTTTATTTTGTATACATGTCCTTTTTTTGTAAATTATTCTGCATCGAACTCGTATGCATAGTTTGTGCTTGTACTAACTAATAAAGTTGGCTTACATTCAACGGCAAAACTGGGTCTCATTCACCATCCTGCTCCCTCTTGACTCTGTTTTCAGGACGACATCTCCGGAGACTACAGCTACGTCTTGCAGTGCCTGGCCTCCTACTAAGGATCTCCTCGTCGCCGAAGCATTTCACATCGATTGTTAACCATTCTATTTGTTGTAACTCTTAACTTAAGGCAAACCACGTTCGCCAACTTTTCTATGGAAGATTCATAGCCTATTTTCAATTCATAAATGCATTGTAAAATCATGGAAAAGAATTTAAAAGTTTTTCACTTAACTAGGGTAACCGAAACCGGGGGAATGGGTGTGGGAATATTTGATTAGAGCAACGGTCGGCACGCAATATGATGACATTTTGTCTTTCATTTGCGTGAGTAATTTGCACGGGGCAGCTTACCGACATGTGCGTGCCGACCGCTGTTGTACACTGTTTGTGCGTCGGCAGAACTAGTCCCTATGCCCGCTTAATGGGAAGCTGCCGACGACTGGATTAGAGGAATGGCTGGGCTGTGTCTTCTATTTGGCCACCCTATCCTGGTAGGCTGCCCACAGGCGATCGCGGTAGGTCTGGGCCGCCTGCTCCGGGCTGCTGGCCTTCAGGATACCCCTGCCGACCACTCCGATATCGGCTCCTTGCTCCTTGACCACGTGCTCTGGGCTCTGGTATTGCTGGCCCAGCTGGTCCACGCTCTCGTCAATCTTTACTCCGGGTGTCAGCTGCAAGAGGCCGGGGAAGGCGAAGGCATCGGAGGATTGGCACACCACACCGGCCACGAAGTCCACATCGGCGCCCTCGGTGGCGATCTTGTTGCTGTTCTCCTTGTACTTGGCATCGATCAGGTTGCCGCTGGCCGACATCTCCGCCAGCAGGAAGACACCACGCTCCTTGCCAGCTCCCGCCTCGCCAAGGCCCGCCTTCAGACCCTGCAGAATACTGCGTCCAGGTAGTGTGTGGGCCGTGACCAGGTCTGCCCAGCTGGAAATCTTGTAGATGCCCTTGCCGTACTGCAGCGACACGGTATTGCCAATGTCCGCGAACTTGCGATCCTCCATCAGCAGGAAATTGTGTCGCTGGGCCAGAGCTTGCAGGTCGGTGATGAATTTCTCGCTGAAATCCTCCACAATGTCGACGTGCGTCTTCAGCAGGCAGATGTACGGACCGCACTTGTTGGCCAGGTCCAGGATCTCATCAGCACTGGTCAGATCGGCGGCCAGGCAGAGGTTCGTCTGCTTGCTGGCTATCAGGTTGAAGAGCCTCTTGGCCACCGCGCTCTTGGCCAAGTTAGCGCGACTCTCGTAGGTCAGTTTGGTGCGCTGCAAGTCGTTGGCTGAAAGAAAAGTAAAAGCGATTGGTTAACACTTGAATATGAATATTATTATATCTTATCGCTCCTTATCTTTTTTAGAATCAAATTGCTAATTATCAATGTGGCCTATAGTAAGCATGGACTAACTTTGTGGATTTGAAATCAAATATATTTATCTTTATTATATTTATCTAATTTATCTAATCAAAATGTCGTCCACAATACGAATACATTAAAACAAATGAATTTTTAAGTTCTGTTTATTCATTTTATAGGTCTAAAAAAAGCGCCACGTTTTACCTGTAAACATTCAAAACTCTTCTATGAAAAGAGATATGATAACTCAAGATAAAATAAGAAATTCCGCAATTTGCAGATGAACGAACCGGTTCTCATACATTTCAACAAGCTCGAAAATTAGCCATGCCTATTTATAAAGGCAGCCGGGCGATAGGCTTTATTGGAGAAGGGGACCTGATAAGCTTGGCATAATTGAGTGGAGCACTGCCCAGAATCAGAATCACGTGCCGCTTGCCCGCGAACTTGATCCGGTCCGAGTGGGGAATCCAGATCAGCTTACCGCCGTTTAGGGCGATTGTATAACTTTATGATACCGCGACTGGAGCTCCCCTAATTGAATTTGGTTCGAGGCCATGTGCGCCCCGAATGTCATGTACTTATTATCTATCTATCTGGCGTATATCTGGGGGGATCTGGAGCACTCACCTCCGACAACATCGGCCTTATCGCCCCCGACAAAGGTTCCATCGCTGTTGATTTGCACGGCGGCTATGTACTTGGCCACTGCCTCCACGGTGGACTTTTCGATCCGTCCGGCCTCGTGGAGGGTGTTCAGGAGGAAGGAGAGCGTGAAGAGCGAGTGCATCCGCACACCGTGCTTGGCGATGTTGTCCACGCCGCCCTGCTCCCGGTTCACCACCACCACGGCGTCGGTGACCACAATGCCCTCGCTCTGCAGATCCCTCACCGTGTCCAGAATGCTGGATCCAGAGGTGACCACGTCCTCGACAATCAGGCAGGTGTCGCCGGCATTGAAGATGCCCTCGACCAGCTTCTTGGTGCCGTAGGCCTTGGCCTCCTTGCGCCGGACCAACATGGGGGTTCCCTGCTGCACGGACACGATGGTGGCCAGTGGGAGCGCCGTATAGGGAACTCCGCACACGTGCTTGGCGGTCAGCTGCTTGTCCTTGATATGCTCCACCAGAAGGTCGGAAACGGTTTGCTGGGGGAGATTGATTAGGGGATTATTAGATATTATCATAAACTTGCAGATTTAATCCCAAGTACTTACCATCACATCCGGATAGCTGACGATCACACGCAGATCGAAGTAAACCGGCGAATTGATGCCCACCTTCATCTTGAAGTCGCCGAACTTGAAGGCGTTGATCTCGAAGAGCTTCAGGGCCAGAGCCCTCATTTTGTCCGAATTCTGGGCCACCATTTCTCGATCTTGATCTGTTTTCTTAGTACACGTGCTAGCCAAGTTCCAATAAGAACCGTCCAACTGGGAGTGCAGCAATAGGGATGTGAAAAGTATACAAAAAGATCGATATTTTTGAAAATAAATATTTTTTATAGTGAAAATATCGATATTTTGTCATAATTCACGTTAACAGGTAGGCGCACAATAACCTATCGAAACTAAATTTTGGAGGGAAAAGTTGTTGCAAGATATTTATATTTTTGTTTGGTTTTACAATACCCATTACCTATGGTGTAAACTCATTTAAGTCCAGGGTGCCCGCAGCAACTGTTAAATATAGCATTATCGCTGCTTGAACTCACTAATGTAATTTTTAGATGATATATTTTTTATCAAATTTGTTTTAATTTTAAAAGGCGATTTACAAGGCGGTTGAACATTTTTAAACAATGTTACTTATAAATATTTTTAATTATATTATTAGTTTTGCTAGCCTCATTTCTTGGCATTCATTGTTTTGTTCATTCTAGGGTTCGCAAAACGATAGGTACTGTTGTTTTGCTAAATTATAGGTGATGTTGCATTTTACGAACCCTGGAATGCACACAATTTTAACTTGGCTAGCTAATGTCGTATTATAAAACAATATTCTAAAATATTCTGACGAACAAACCAAAGTGTCAACGTTTTCTTTTCATTTATTTTTCTTAAGTTTTTTCATTTTTTGCATTCGTTTTTTATGGGCGTATTTTTCCGTGCGTTGAATCACCTCATTATATTTCCTCTTGTTGAACATTTGGAAGCTCTCGTCTTCTAGCAACTCATTAACTAGAGACTGTTTCTTCTTCGACTTCTTTTCGTTATAGTGGTCTAAGGCTGAGGGTTGCACAGTACCAATTTGGAAAAACTTAGGAACATATTTGAGGTCGTTTTTCTTGTAGAATTGTTTAGGGTTCAAAACCGACCGCATCTGGATTATTTTAAGTTCGTTTCGCATTTCCTCAGTGACTTCCGTTGCGGGCAAATCAAACCAGCCTTTTCCCTTGGATTTGGCGCGTTCAGCCTGAAATAGGAGGAGTGATTAGAAAGGGACATAGATAGGTAAGCTGGATATGCCTATCATGCTCTCAGATTACTAAAGACGTCGTCAATGGGCAACTCAGGCCTAAGTGGATCCTGGGTCGACAATACTCTGTGCTTCATTTTAATGATTATGTTTTGTAAGCCATAGCCTAAGTTGTCAGTCTTGGATTTCACGACAGACAGCAGTCTTGCCCCTGGCTCGTAATGTTCCGCTGGCCTTACGGCCCACTACCTATTCTGCAAGGCAGCATCCAAGATTACAACGGAAGAAGCTGGAATTGTCGACTTAGAGTCTGATCACAGGATCCACCTCAAGCAGCCTGAGCTATGCAAATTCCGATGTCGAATATGTCATCATAGGCAAAGTTGGGTGTTTATTTTCTTGCCTGCTTTATACTTACTCTATTTATAATGGGTTGCTGCCTTTTGCCCACGGTGGGAAGTGCACTGCGTTGGCTAAGGTCTGGATTTAACGCCAGCCTTGAGCCCTTCAGATCCTTCGCCACGTTTTCCTGCAGCGTGGCCCGATCATGGTCATAACTGTGATTTGGCTCTGCGATCGGCTTCAGTTTCTTGATTGCAGCAGGCTGAGGACTCACAGCGCTGAGCACTTCGTTGAAGTTTAGCTTCAGGCCAAATAACTGTACTTCTCCTTCCTGTGGGTCGTCATCGCTTCCGCCATCTTTCTCTTCCCGCAGCAGAAGTTCTCTTTTGTAAGCAATCCTTTTTGATTGCGCGCCACCCAATTCATGCTCGCCTTTCGTGTCGAAAATAATAGAATCCATTTTCAATAATCCAAACAACGCATGGTCTAACAGACAGTGTGACCGCACCGATGATAGTTGAAAATACCATCTGCACCGATAACGGCTTAAAAAACCGAAAAATAAATACCATTTCGGTTTCAAGAAATACCATTTAAATACTATTCATCCAAATAATTAGGGTATTCCCTAAACAGTTGACTTACTGAATTTTTGAAAATTCAACAGATAATTTCAGCAATTGGGGGAACGAACGTAAATGGTTGGTGTTATATTTTATTTTTCTTTCAAACCAATGTCCTTTAACAATTAATAAGGTAAAAAAAATTAAAATTATAGGTTTTAATTTGATTTGATTACATGGGTTTTTTCTATTGTGAAAGAAAAATTAGTAAGTAATGCAACTGACGAATATTCAAAAATAATGTGAGGTAGTTACACTACAGAAACGCATTTTCCTATTAATTCTATTTTAAGAAAACTGGCATTCAAATCAAGAGTTTCTAATGTATTTTTTTTTGTACCCCTACATTTTAAACCCATTGTCAAAATTTAAAAACTATGGTAATCTATAGTAATGTACATACATACCAAAAAAATTTAAATTCCAACCACATTTCTAATTTTTCCCACGTATAGTTGGAAGTTTAAAACCTACATATGTAATTCTATAAGTCAACCCTGGTGCAAACAGGCTTTAAATGTAGTTCGTATAAACACAATTGCTTTCTTAGGACAGTACTTAGATAGACTATATGGTCCCATTAATTATGATTTAAATACAAAATTGACAAATTAATTAAGTAGATTATACTGGCCAGCGCACTTGATTTCCAAAATTAAGATTCTACAAAAATGTTAAATTGAAAAGAAGTATTATTTTTTTTGACCTTTTCTAAAGTTTGGCTCCACCCACATCAGGGTATGTGGACTTTAAGGGGAGGAGTCTTATCATATTCCAACCGCCAATCACAGTCCTCGAAATCCAACTAACCATGTTAAAACAAAAGCGCCTGCGTAAGTCAACAAAGTTTTCTCTAGTCTTTTTGAAACAATTGTAAGTCCTTTGATTCAGTGTTTCCAAAATTTAGTTTCTTTTCGCTGGTCCCCAACTTAGTCGCAGATTTCTGCTCAAAATCAGCAATTTCTTCGTGCAATTATCGGTTTTAATTGAATCAAATTTTAAGGCTGCGCTTCAATGGCCAATATAAGTGAACAAGTTAGTGAAGTGGCTGCAAAGCGTCCTCGCCTGGCTGGCACTTCCAAGACTCCCAAAATAGTTGATCCCCAAACTCCCAAGGTCGCCAATCGGGTGCCCAAATGTGCCCGCTGTCGGAACCATGGGATTATCTCGGAGCTCAGGGGTCATAAGAAGCTCTGCACCTACAAAAACTGCAAGTGCGCTAAGTGTGTCCTGATCTTTGAGAGGCAACGTATTATGGCCGCTCAGGTAAATTAAACAGTCTCATATTTTTTACAAATCGCTCATTTACTAAAATACCTTCTGAAAAAATAGCATTACAAGATAGACGCATATACATTTTTTAGCGTCGTAGGTCTTTTAGCAAAGCGATAAAACGTTTATACTTCACAAGCTCAACGTTTTAAAGATATGATTATTAAAATTACACAACATAGACCATTTCAACATTAATTGTTTTAATTCCATTTAGTTTACTCCTCTAGTAAATGAGCCAAATATTTTATTGGTTGTCAAGGTGGGCTTTGAAAAATTGCATACCATTACGATCTTTAGCTAAATATTAAATACAATTTCTTGACTCCTGCTCCTTAAACCTTTTATTAAGGATTGTAAGATATATGGAGGTATTGATTTCATTTAAATTTAAATCAATTTCAAGCTCTGATTTTTCAAAAGAAAGAAAAAGAAACACATATATTCGTATAACTCTAAGGTGGAGTTAACTCAAATTTTATAAAATCCTACTGGGCTGGTTTATTTCCTAAATTTATGAAAATATAAAACGTAAGATTTAAAATTGTGAAATGTAAGTAAATAACATTTTTAAAAGATACTTATAATACAATTTCGGATCGAAGGTATTTCAGGCAAAGTTAATTTCAATCATTGTTTAATTTAAGTGTCTACTAGTTTTTTGGACACCCGTCCAGGACTTGAATTGTGTGCCACCCCACCCTTATTCAATAAATCTGTGTAACTGAATTCAATTGCCTGCTTTCTTAGAAAAATAGTTAGCTGGGCCATTTGTATTGTCTTTAGATTAAGCGTTGGCCAAGCGCTCAATTCGAAACACAAATAACTGTTGGGTGAAAACTCTGGGGTAACCCCACTCCAAAGCCAACTCAAACAGCCAATGAAACGGAATACGGGGAACAGATTCGAACAGGACCACCAGTCCGGTATTCCCGCCCCTTTGGTGATGATGATGGAAAGTTGTCAAGGCGTAGGAACAAATCGACCAAAATATCCGCTTACCAAAACTGTTTGCACAAGTGTTTCTCCGTCTCGCATTTCATTAGATCAGCATGGTTAGGATGTGCATGCTATTGTGGGTGATACCCCAAGGAATTGCCTTGGTCTTTGTTTGCGTAAAAGTCAAACAGCAGCAGACGGAGATGTTCACTTGTCGCATATTAATTTCCATTTGTGGTCTTCCAGGTTGCCCTGAAGCGCCAGCAGGCCGTGGAGGATGCGATTGCCATGCGGCTGGTGGCCAACAAAACGGGTCGCTCCATCGATTCCCTGCCACCGGGCAACATTTTCGGTCTGACCGTGACCCAGCCCAGTTCACCGCTCCCCAAGAGGGAAGATGACCCGGCGGAGAAGCCTCTTTCGGAGGAGCAGAAGCAGCAGCCGCAGCCACAGGAAGAGGAGTTCAGCGATCCGCCGGCAGTGGCCCAGGATCTCAGTGCTCCACGACGGGATAACGTCTCCCAAACGGCCATCGATATGCTGGCCCAACTGTTTCCCCACCGAAAGCGATCTGTCCTGGAACTGGTCCTCAAGCGCTGCGATCTCGACCTGATCCGGGCCATCGAGAATGTCTCGCCCACAGGCAAAGCCACTCCTGTGGATGGCACCAACATCAGCCAGTTGCCTAGCCAAGAGCCAGGAATCTTGCCCAGTGTGTCGCAAATCACGTCTTCGAGGAGCAGCGCCTTCAGGCCTGTAATAACAGATCAGGTAAGAGAGCACACCAGGTTGTTTCATTTGAAATCATAGAAGTATTAATAAATATGTAATTTGTTAATGCTTCGAATTTTATGAATTCTGTAAAACTGGGAATCAAAATATCTCGAACTCCTAAAATAACATTTTCAGAGGTGCCAGACAAATTATATTATTTGAAATTTGTATAGAGCTTTGTTGAGACCCTCACCTTTTCATGCATGAGTTCATGAATTCTTAGTCAACTTTTGGGTGTAAGCTAATACATGAAATATTGTTTATGCATGCAGTGTGTTTTTTGTTCTGGTTATCGTATAAACACGGTAATACAAAAATATCCTATAAACAATAATACAATTATTACTTTTATGAAATAATGTGCTTGTTTTTCAAGATGATAACAAATATAAGATTTTTTTCAGTACATGTTTTGTACCTTGAAACAAAAATGTAAAATATTAAAATATCCTTCTTTGAATGTTTTTATACCAAAATTTGTTTGACTTTAATCTTTACAATAGAAAAAATTTACTTTTAAATTTAAAGAATAAATTCAAAAAATTGTTTTTTTATAATTTGAGAGCGATATCTAAAGACTGTTGAAACATTTTATTAGAGCACAGCTTTCTTATCTTTCAGTACCAGAGCAAATCTATGATGGAGCTAAAGCCGCCGGTCTTCGGAAGCAGCACCTCGGCAGCGGCGGCTGCCATTTGTGCCTACCCCAAATGGTTCGTGCCACTCTCCTTCCCGGTGACCATGGGCCACCTCTCCAACCTGGCACCGCGCTGCACTTTGCCCAACTGCGCTTGCCTGGACAGCTACCAGTTCCACTAGGAGCTTTCATCACCTACCCACGATTCTATTGAAATACATTTATTAAACCTAACTACAAGCTGAACTATCTTATGAGTAAGTGGGCAATCTTCGAGCTTCACTTGGGGGCATCCTCCGTTTCCTCCTCTTCGTCGTCATCCTCATCGTCCTCGGATAGATACATGCGATCCTCCTCGTCGCTCTGCTGGCCACTCCTGCTCCCGCTGCCCAGGTTTAGGACGGGAACGCCGCCATTTGAGGTGGGGGAGGCGGATCCTGTCGTGGCCGCTGCTCCTTGGGCGGATGCACTGCGCTTGCTGAGATTGGCCCGTCGCCACTTGGCACGGCGGTTCTGAAACCAGGTCTTCACCTGGCGATCGGTCAGTTTCAGTTGGAGCGCCAAGTGACGCCGTTCCTCGGGCGAAAGGTACTTGGAGCTGGCGAATCGACCTTCGAGATTTTTGGTCTGCTGGGAGGTGAACCGGATCTGACCACCTTTTCGCTTCACTCCGAAGTTGGACATGTAGAAACTGGCCGCCGGATAGGCGTTACAGTAGAGGGCGGCGGCAGCGGTGGCTGGATTTGGAAATCCTAGAAAGAATAGATATAGGTATGAGATTATAAATACATTCAAACTTAATTCAATTTCATTTAAAACTATATAAACTTAATTCGATAACCTCTGATTACTGAAACCACTTACATTTGTTTATTGGTCACTACAAAATAAAATAAATAATAATTGAATAAGTAAAGTAGATGTAGGCTTAGGTATATTTATAATTTGATAAACAAAGCTTATTATTAAATGTTAGCAAGTTCTTTAATGCTTATTTATTATGATATAGTATATAATTGATACATTTAATTTATCAAATGTATATGTCAGTTCATATCCTCAACAAAGATAACTAAAAGATACCATGGAAAACTAGGGAACAATTTATTTCTTTGTATAACAATTTTAAAGTATCTGTCCGATATAAAGTAGTGCAATCGTTGGGTTTTGATTGGTGGCTCCTGTGGCCCGATTCCCCTATCTCCGCCCACCAACTCTTATCAAAGTAATCGGACACAACAGTTCCGAGTCGTACAAGTGTATGAGTGCTCGGGAATATATCAGCAAAACAGTATCCGTATCGGGGGATATGTCAACGCCCACTTGTAAGTGGGTGAAGACTTGGTGGCCATTGCGAAATGGATCGACATCGACTGAGAGCCTAGATTCTAGGGCAATTGAGCGAAATCAATTGCCACCCGACAAGCAATCCGATTGCGGTACTATATGTATGGTATATATAATATGATAAGGAAAGGGGAGTTTTGCTGTTGACGTAACGGAAATTCGCACTTGTCGCGTATTTGAATTACGCCCATTCCACCACCGCTGAACTAATCTGATATTTCGGGACCCAGTTACCTCACGGTTCAGATTCCAAGAACTTTTTGGAAATTGCCAAAAGCCGTTAAATAAATAACTTTCAATAGCAAATGCCATAATTTCAATTGTTACAAATAGACTTATTAACGGTTATTTTTATTAAGTGGCGTACCCAGTAATAAGACCGTTCTCCCCCTGGGTAGACCCCCATTTTGTTCTTCCAGGTGTTTAATCGCTGAAAATTGAATTTGTTATTATTTTAAAATGTGCGTGTCCGAAAGAAAGAGTGGAACCATATCAGGTACTTGTGGCCCACTTCCCTCCCCCCACTTCACCCCTTTTCAGGGAGGGCGGACGAGTGTCGAGAACGGACGAGCTTATCGTAATCAAATGGCAATTGTCGCTATAAGATGATGGACAGCGCCTATTAATCGCCTCTAATAGCATTTTTCGTTTAGATAAGCCAAAACAAATCGGAAATCGGGATAGCAATAGAAATGGAGTGGGCTATACCACCTGATACACCTATCTGAATAGGCATACTAAACTAATCAATGCTCTACGAGTTTATGGGCGCATTAAAAAATTTGAATTTTTCCAAAATGATATTGCAACGGAATGATAAGAATGAGAATGGAAAGGTAATCTCGTTTTAGGAACAATTTGTTTTTAGCTTTTTGGTTCGTTTTAAATCGTATACTTGATAGTAACATGTATTTTGGAACACTTAAAGACGATTTTTGGTTGTAATTATATAGCAAGTGATAACTGTGACCCTCTCCACAAAAATTTCTTTCGTGGTTTTTGAGGACATATTCGTAATGTAAAAAAGGCTCGAGACTTATTAAATAATCTTACAAATGTTCTAGCATTTCCCACAGTTAAGCTTATTTGCATGAATGACTTAAAGCACTTCGATTTACCGGGTACCACAATAATCCCCTTTAAATAGAGTCCAACAGTCATTTGGATTTCCATTGCTTTCACTCACCTCAATTCCCAATATTTGTCATTTTGATAAGACCACGAAAAATATTTCGTGGGTTTTCCGATTCGAGTGTGGTATATAAAGGAAGGGATGGAATTGGGGCTGTGACCTTATCAGCACTACGTATTCCTCTGCCCAATTTTCGGGGGCTAATCTACCGTTACATTGCACGAAGAACCAACCGGGAATGCATTTTCGAGGTGGGGATTGTGAGATTTCAAGTGGCAATGGCGCCAACACTTGACTTTGACAAACACCCAACTGCACACACACATTAATCATGTTTATGGCCCATTTTGTGTGGGAGCCCCATTGTAATATTTGGATGGTTCGGACACTTTGGACTTAGGCTAGTTAAGACTGTATTTAAATGAGGATTTTGTGTAGGACCATTCCCATGGTCGATCAATTTCCATGTGTCAGTTTGATGAGATTAGGTTTCAGCATGGTGAGGTTCAATGACTTGAACTTGGAATTTTCAAAAAGGGTAAGTTCTTAATCCTTGCTTGAAACTGTGGGAAAGTCTAATATAAAATATACTATTTTAGTTTCATTCCTGTTGAGTACTTTCCGATCTATTTTTAATTTTAAAGAATTAACATATCATTTTTATAGATATGAATGATTAGCGTTTATCAGCATTTAGTCTTTAATTGATAATTGTAGCGCTCATTCATTCATAATACCAGGCTGCTTCTGACTCATTTCCGGTCTTTTAATAATAGGTTATATGATGAAATGGTAATGATGTCCTACTTTTTACTGATTTATAATTGTATAGGTTCCAAAATATAACAAATTAATAAATATATTTAATGAAAATAGATCATATGTATGTTTCCAATTCAACACTATACTATAAACTGATTTGCACAGATATAATTTCTAGGTTCTTAGTCTTTCACTCGTGTCCATAAGTCTTCCTCAAAATAAATTATACAAAGATAAAAGTTAATACATATCAATGTGATATTATAAAATTTTCGAAATGATGCCATTGCGATCTGCATAATTTTATAAAACATATGAAACATTTTCCCCCTTTATCAACAAAGTATAGGTTTTAACATATATCAAATTAATATATTAACATATTAAACCAAAATAGTTCATGTGTATATTTCCTGTCCAACTAATTTATACATTAATAAGTATCTATTTATTACTCACCCTCGCAGTCCATTGCGAATGGACTGTATTGATCACAATAAGCCGTCGGCTGGACGGCGGCTGCGGCGGCCACTGCGGCTGCCTGAAAGTGGGGCATGAAGAGCGAGGGGTTCTTCTGCAGGTTGAGCACCTGCTGGTAGAACAGCGAGGCGGGATCCGGATAGATGGGGTTGAACCGGAGAGAGGTGGGTGCTAGCACGCCACTGGAGTCCATATTCTTGAGGGCATACTGGGCGGCGGCTGCCTCGCGAGACAGATCGTAGATGTTGGAGGAGGACGTGGCGGAAGATGAACTGGTGGCCAGCGACGCCTTTGGAATAGCCAGAGCAGGTGAAGAAGGTATCCCCGCTGTTCCTGCCGCAGGACTTTGAGAGGAGCCTCGACGCGACTGAGATCGATGGGGGTTGTCGATAGTTGGACTCCTTGCAGTTCGTGTCTTTTGCTCCAAGATATTCTCGATGGAGAACGCGGCCTTGCTAGACTTGGTGCCGATATCCATTTTTGGTCTTCAGTTCTTCAAGTGTTATTATAGATCACCGTAAAAGCGTTAACGACTGAATTCCGGAGCGATCGAAGCGACTGCGTTGGCCGCAGGCGGTGAACTAATGGCAACCAGCTGAAGAAGTCGCCGCAGAGACCCAGGGCGCTATAAATTGTACCAAATCTGATTTCACAGAATATAATAGATTGTACCTATAATGTTGTGCTAATGGGTAGATATCAATATTAACAATAATAGAGCGGTATGTAGATATGCCGCGCCCGGGAGATAATGCCGGGCTACCGGCCATCGATTGATAAGCGAGTGGTGGTTGGTGGGCGCTCCAGTGGCTCGATGGCACTCCACTCCACTCGATTCCGATTCCGTATTTCCAATTTCCAATTTCCAATTGCGGGCGACGACAGCTCGACATCGGGAGTAGGAGTCTCAAAGCCCGGTGGTTGGACACCCAATCGGCGATCCGATCCCGGCCGTCGTATAAATCACGGTCCCTGCTCGGGCGCTTATTGAGCTGCCAAACCACCAACTCAACTCTACCTCCCCCCAAAATCGCACTCCCACTTGGTGGGTCGGTGCGTTTGATCGAGTAATTGTTAATCACCCCTTATCGGTATCGTTACCTGGTTTCGGCTCTCTGCTACTGTTCAGTTATTATATTCTGTTGATTGTTGTTGTAAACAAATTAAAATTACCAATCTCTCTCTCGCTCTATTAGGCCCCCAATCTCCTCCTCCACAGCCCCCTTTTGGGAGGTGGTGTCCTTCCCTTCGGTAAATATCGCTTTGATTGAGTAATCGAGTTGGTGCTATGATTTCGGCGATGGTGCCGTCCCTTTCTGCTTTTCGGGAACAATATATACGTTTGTATAACTGTAGTTGTGGATAGGTATTTCGGGGTGTCTTATCAGTTGTACTCGGGCTCCTCGTAAAGCCTCCCAGATGATGGATTACTTCTGATTTCGGCCTTTGGGTTGGATGATA